ATCTCCACGACCAGAGAGAGAGAACATGCCAACTCCAAATATACAAGCATCCTCAGGGTCGGGATCGAACCCACGATCTCCTGTATACCAGGCGAGGTAGTTAACATCTCTTTCTAGATTTGAAGCTTTCGTGACTGCAAGGATTCATACTCTTAGGTTTTGTCGGTAAAGTCACATAGGTAAAAAAATATTAATAAAATAAAATAATAATACATGAAAATAACTCAATTAAATCACGACGTTTCGGAGGCAACACAAGTCTCCGTCTTCAGGTGGGACCGTCACAGCTAAATTTAATGTATCAAGTTGATACAGTCACAGCTAAATTTACTGTATCAAGTTAATACAGTAAAGTTAGCTGTGACGGTCCCAACTGAAGACGGAGACTTTATTGATTTGATTTAAGAGTTATTTTCATTTATTATTATTTTATTTTATTTTTACCGACGTGACTTTACCAACAAAACCAAAGAGTATAGTTAACATCTCCTCGCCACCACGACGCTATGAACCCGCGAGCCGATTGAGTTCAATTCCCCGGTCATTCTGATCCAGTCTTCGGACCCCCCACCCCCGCCTGCAACTTTTCCAGCCCTTGCCACCGATGACTGCAAAAACAAGAAAAACTTTCACATTTATTAATTAATTGAGAATGATCTGGGCACTGAGAATTTACCCGGTGTGGGTTTGAGTCACGTGGCCCATACACTTTGTCAGGGCGTGTGCAACGTGGGTGGCTCCGAGTGTGGATCAAGATGGATGTTGAACTGGTTTCCAATTTTTTTTTAAAATTTGCATGACATCATCTTCCAGGGCTGTTTCTCGGACGCTTGGTGGCGAATCCCTCGCTGTGGGAATCAATCTGAATGGCCATTCTTTTTTGTTGCATCTTAATCGCACGAGATGGTTTACCGACAGTGGAACATAACTGGGAACTATTAAAATCAATAAAAGAAAAAACAGATGAAGAACTAGCGCTCTGCAACGTCATTTTCCAGGACGCTGTAAAAAAAAAAAAATCCCCCCAAAAAAACGATGTGAGCCGGGGGGGGGAGGGGGCGGGATTGGAACCCACGTCGCCGGTTCCGTAGTCCGTCGCGCTAACTGCGGCGCCACCGCTCTCGGCTACGAACGCACGCAGCGCACACAGGTACGCAGGCGCGGACATCGCGTGCGCCTCTCCTGGTGGGATCTATACCCATCGGGAATCGGCAGACACCGATATCTGGCCCTGGCGCGTTGCGTTGCGTTGTGTCTGTTGCGCTGCGCGTTGTGTTGCATTGCGCATCATTTTCTCCACGGGGTCAAGCTCCCAATCGGAACGAGTCGGGCAAAAGATTTTGCGCCCGAAAAGGAAGAATTCCGAAAACCTCCCGTGTCCCAAGCACGTCCTTTTCCAGACTCGCCGTTTCTGTCTTTCTGAACGAGGCTCGTGTTTCTTTTCGACCCACTCGTAAAAGTTGAGCGTCTAAAAGAGTGGTCCTTCTTCTTCTTAACCTGGGGTGCAAACGCCGCACTCCCCCAAGAGGGTGCGAGATGCCCTTTCGGGGGGTGCGAGACATGGCCGGATTTTTTTTCGAATCTAAATCATAAAAAACACAAATTAAGCACGGTCACGTAGCAACTTAATTCGTCTCATCAAACCCGATGCATCTATTAACATTCTACATTTTTTAATGATTGAGTACCAAAAAGGTACAGGCTGCAGTAAACAACAACCAATGGTCTAAAATAACACCGCGGGGTTTGGCGGGTCCCGAAGAGGGGGCAGCGATCGCTCAGGAGGGCGACGACATTTTTGTAACGCGACGTCAAACGCCCCCCAACGATGAAAACGGACGCACGCTCGCTCGCACACACGGACGCACGCGCGGCAAGCCCACGCGCGGCAAACCCACGCGTCCGTCGACGGGCCGACTTCAAAGGCGGCCCAATAATCAGCGCGATAAGGGTGCGAAGGGCGGCTTCGGGATCGATGCGGCCGGTCCTTAAAACATTCACGCGGCCCTAAATTGTACATAGCGCCGATCGAGAGGCGATGGAACGCAGGCGCCGGCGCAAGGAAATCGTTCGGGATCCATCAAACTTTCAGCGTGTCGACTTAATAATGCAGCAGGGGAATTTTCGTTTTTCTTCATATTCTTCGTCGAGGATGGCGTCGCCCTAAATTTTGCAACGGGAACGATGTCGAGAGATGAATAAATCACGACGCCTAAACAAAACAGGGCACCGATGCGTTCCCTTCAACCGACGATGAATAATAACAAGGCCTCATACTCTTAGTTCTTTCGGTAAAGTCACGTAGGTAAAAAATGAAAAAAAAATTAATAAAAATAAAAGAATAAAAATCACGACGTTTCGGAGGCAACACAAGTCTCCGTCATCAGGTGGGACCGTCACAGCCAGATTTGCTGCATCAAAGCCAGATTTGCTGCATCAAATCTGGCTGTGACGGTCCCACCTGATGACGGAGACTTGTGTTGCCTCCGAAACGTCGTGATTTTTTTTATTTTTATTAATTTTAATTTCATTTTTTACCTACCTGACTTTACCGAAAGAACTAAGAGTATGAATCTTTGCAGTCACGAAAGCTTCAAATCTAGAAATAACTACGGCCGCCGTCGCCGCCGCGGTGACGAAACGGTTAGCGGCGCCACTGGACTCCGATGTGCGGAGGTAGCCGGCTCAATTCAATCTCCCGGCGCGGCAGCTGAAAGAACGGGGGGGGGGCAGGTTTCTTAGATTCCCCCCCAACCACCACCACCCACCCCCACATTATTGTTTTCCTCCAATGTGTTTGCTACTCATTATTCATGATTTAATTGCTGCTGTAACTTCCTGTATTTTTTACCGAGGTCCTCCGCTGGACATTGTTGTTAATCATCTCAGGGCTGAAACGTTTTTTTTTTTGGGAAGCCACGGAGGTGTGATGTTAACCATCTCGCCTCGTACACAGGAGGTCGTGGGTTCGACTGGACCCTGACGATGTCTGTATATTTGGAGTTTGCGTGTCTCTCTCCACGCGGTCGCGTTAATTTCTCCCCGGGTCATCAGGTTTTTCCCTCCACATTTAGAATCAACATCACTCAATTTAAAGCTTTCGTGACTGCAGGGATTCTCATCTTCTTAGTTCTTTCGGTAAAGTCACGTAGAAGGGAAATAGTAAAATAAAAATTCTCATGATGATGATGAGCGACAAAGACAGCTGTCTTTCCGACTGCTCTGTTTCTTCACCTGAGGACGGCTGCTTGTGTAGTGGCCGAAACGTCGTGATAATTTTTATTTTATACTATTTTTCTATTTTTTTTATTTCCCTTCTACGTGACTTTACCGAAAGAACCAAGAAGACAACATCACTCGTTTCGAATATTGGACCACCGCTATAAATTTCCAACTGATGATTAGCGTCATTGTTGATCTATCATTTGTGGCCAGGTTGCTTCTAAAACAGGAGCTATACAGCTCAGTGGGCCTTACCTGGACAAAAATACAAAAATCGTTTAATTTAGCGCAGTGGTGAGTGCGTTAACCGCTGCGCCACCGCTCCGCCTCGCCGGCAATAGTTGGAAAATGAAAACTAAATAGTTTTGCATGTTCTCCCCATGGTCACGTGGATGTTTTCTCCGGCTCCTCCGGTTTTTCCCGTCACACTTAGAATCAACTTCACGCGTTTAGAGAGCATTTGGCCGCTATAAATTTCCACGTCATAAGCCACTTCGTTGAGCTATCATTTTTTCACTTCTGAAAAAGAGCTATACAGCTCAGTGGGTCTCACCCGATAAAATAAAAAATAGTTTATAGCTTTAGTATGCATGTTGAACTTCTTGTCGCGCCGTACGTAGCCAACCGTGCTAATCGGAGGGATACTGCACACCGCACGTACGCGTAAAACAAATACAATCCGTCAGGTTGCGTGTGGCGGGGTACAGTGTGGGTAACTCCCACCTCTCTCCAGGGGGGGGGGGCGAGCGTGGATACCCGCTCTACGGCCGCTCACCCCCGTTCCACCAGCAGCGACGTGAGCGAGCAATTGCAGGGCTGCGCCTTTGCCTCTTTCGCTTAAAAAAATAAAATACTAAACGACAACAACAAGCGGCGCCGGTGAGCTACTGAAAGCATCACGGCATTGGTGAAAAAGAGCTTCACAGATCATCGGATTCCTCCCAGGATAATAATCAATATTTCGATTCTCATTCGGCGCAGCCCGCGGGGGTGAGCCAAAGAGGACCCCCCCCCCCCCCGCTTCATCCGTCGTTTGATCGTGCAGTGGTTCGTCGATTTTATCTGCGAGCACGCTTTTTTTGCCCGTTCCCTGCGCCCACCTCTCCACCTCTCACGGCGAGAAGCGGATTGTGCTCGGCGCGAGCAATGATTAATGGATCAAATTGGGATGCTCGAGGCCCGCGTGTAACCACGCACGCGTGGGGACCCGCGCACGCGTGCGTACGCAGGAGTCGATAGGAATGGATAATGCAGGCAACTCGCGAGCGTGATCATGCACAAATCTCACGTTCGGGGCCTAATGGGACGGGCGGGAGAGGACCAGAATAAACGTACGGGACAGATACGTACAAACGATACAATATTCATCGTTTTTTTAAAATAGTTAGGAAGTAAGTAAAAATGTTTACCCCCAACCTCGACAACAATTTATGGAATTGCGGCAAGCCGTTACCTACCGAGTCGTTACCTACTCAGTCGTGTTTCACCTACCGAATAGTTACCTAACGCTTTTCCTTGTTCCATCACGACACGGTGAAGGCTGTGGGGGCCACAGCGAGTCCGCCGCTCGCCGCAAAGTACGCGACGACAAACTTAGAAGGTCGATTCTTTTCACGCGGGAGTCGGGGGGGGGGGATTAACGCCTTGGGTCGCGATCGTAGGTGGGGGGGGGGGGCGGAGGGGGGTGGGGGGGGTTTCATCAGAGGACCGGCGACCCCCGTGGTGTCATCGTGGTGTCACTGTGGTGTCACCACCGCGGGTGCGAGCGAGAGACTCACCAGCAGCAGGCTTTGGTGGGCGGCGCCGTCGACGGGACTGGGAGAGTCTGCGGAGCGACAACAGACACACACGCACACACACGCACGCACACACACACGCACACACACGCACGCACACACACACGCGCACACACGCACACACACACACACATACGCGCACAAACACAACGCGCGTCAGGACGCGGAGGCTTCGCGCGCGACCTCATCGGCGGCGGCAACCGCAGCAGCCTCGTCGTGGTCGGCAACGACCTATCTGTTAGAATTTTTTTAAATTATAAAACTCAACACGTTCGTCAATTGTTATTTGCGGTATAAACACACAATTGACCCATCGCATAGTTGCATTCTCCACAACGGCGCTAATGATTATTGTGCGTTATGTACCCATTCGTCAATGGGTGAAGGCCGTGATATTTATCTTGAACCCGACTTTGCTGTACTTCCCAGCATTTGCGTTCGCTCCTTGCCACCCGAAGTCATAACGACGACGATTGCCGTCCGCCAATCTGAGACGGCGAAACATTTTCTCCAATTATATTCATAGGGCTCGGAGGAGAAATGTGGAGAAAGTAAAGGCCTCCACGATTTCAGCAGAGGCTTCTCCCGGGTAAGAATGCGCAGGCCACATCATGATAGCGGGAGACACAGCTACGGAGCGGAGACAGAAAACCCAGTAAACATGCCAATAGTGGCCAACGTTGGTAAGTGGTTGGAACCGTTGGCCCAACGTTAACCGAACATCGGACCAATGTTGACGCAATGTTGACCCAACGTCAAACTCAACGTCAAACTCAACGTCGAACCCAAGGTCGAACCCAACGTCGAACCCAACGTCGACCCCAACTTCGACCCAACGTCGACCCAACGTTGGACCAACATCGACCCAACGTTGGACCAACATTGACGGACCCAACGTTGATCCAACGTCAGACCGCAATGGCGATGACAACAGCAGCAACGACAACGACGACAACAACAACGATGACGACAACCACAACAACAACCGCAATGACAACAACAACCGCAATGACAAACAACAAACAAACAACAATGACAACTGCGACGACAACAACAACCACAAACAACAACAAACAACCAACAACAACAACAACGACAACAACTCCTCTGCCACACCCCAATCCAGTTTCCGGACAGCGACCCTCGTTCCGTCGCCGCGAATCAACGCGTGGAAACCAGACGCTCAAAGCGACCGGCTCCAAACGTGAACCCGCCGCTCGCCCACACACCCTGAGAGCGCGACCTCCCCCACGGGCGCCGAGCGCGGTGACAAGCTTTGCCGAACGCGGTCGAGACGGAGGAGGGGGGCATCGGTGTGACGAGCCGAGTTCGCGGCGGCGGCTTTAATTAACACTCGACCGAGACACACAATGGAAATTGCTAATTTTTGCGTAATTGGCTTCGTTGCGGTGAGATAGAAATTGTTTTTTTTTTTCACGGAAAGAGACGATTAATCAAACCCCATTAGCGACGGGGGGAGGGGGGGTGGGGGGTGGGTCTGTGTGTCGTTTTTAATTTGCGACCGGAACACTTCTTTATTATTTTGCGTGCGGGATACGGCCGTTAAGCCCACCGCCACCGCTCGGTGATCCCCCAGCCGCATGACCTCCCATTACCGCAATGGAGAAAGCGATTAGTTTTGCTTTATTATTGCCGCGACGGTTTATCGGTTTCGGGGAGAAAAGAAAGAAAGGGGAAAGGAAAAAAACGACCGGGTGATCGAGAACACGGGGAGCGCGATTGACCGCACGACGCTACATCGACCCACAGCCCTCACCCCCCCCCCCCACCACTCCCCCCCCAACCTCCGCTAATTGACTTGGACGACTCTCTTAACGAGGTCTTCAATATATATTTGAAAAAAAAATGCTCCGGCATCATAAAGGACAGCCGATATTATTGCAAGGAATGTGGGTCGCTGGCAAATTACGTTTTTTTTTTTAAACGAATTGGAAAGGCGGCGGCGGCGGCGTCGCGCGTGGGAAGCGTCGTCTGAGAAAGAGCGCACGTCTCGCTGCGTAACGACATCCACTCGGACATTTCAGAAATTGAAATTGTATTAAAACATTGATTAAAAGAAGGTTTTAGCGAGGTCGTTTTCATTCCCCGCGCAGATGAATTATCGTCATCATTATTATTTGCTCAGAAAGCCTCCAGGAAAAAGCCATTACGAGAGGCAGCTTGAGGCCTCATCAGTGAGCCACTCCACTTTGGAACGCCAAGCAAAAATCTCAGTGGTGTTATACGGCTCCTCACAATCGTTGGGGGGTGCGCGGTGGGGGGGGGGTATCATCGGGTGAGTCATGCCCAACTCTCAAGAATTAATATTTTTTTACGGACGCGCTCATTTTCAAACGACGCATGTTAGGTATCCGGCCTACACGCAAGCGACGGCGAGCGATGGCGAGCGACGTCTCTGACCCCCCCCCCCCCCCATCTCAACCCGTGGCTTCGTTCCCGGCGAGCTCGGTTGGCTTCGTACGGCGCGGAATAAGGCGGGCACGCGAAGCGATAACGGGGCAGGGCGATCGATGTTCCGCGCGCGAACCCACGGCCGGAGATCTAGTTTCATTTCTGCGCGACAAAACCGAAAAAGGTGAACGAATGGGGACAGGATTTGGACGGGTGTGGGAGTGGTAGAAAAGTGGGGGGGGGGGGCGGATGGCAGGGGGTGGGGGGGGCTTTAGCCCTCTTCAAAATTAACCCCGGCGCTGGCTAGAGCCAAGGTGCCGCGGTCAATTATAGCGCGGTAAACGGAGACCCTCTCAGCTGTTGCAAGATTATAATAATAAGTAACTGCCACAGCGCTGTAATGGTTAGCAGCACACTGGAGTTTTTGCAATCTAAGAGGTCGCCGGTTCCATTCCATCTCCCGTTTCTTAAATTCCTCCCGGCTCTGTCCGTCCAGCGGCACCGATGGGCGGCCGGGTGAGAAGCGAGCACTTCCAACGTCTTTGAGGAGCTTCGGCAAGTGTGGAAGAGAGTTGACCAAATATCCTGCAGATTAGAGCGAGAAGAAGGTGGAGGGGTGGTGGCGGCCTTCCGCCAGCGTGGAGAGAGCAGACAAGCGGACGCGGGACGCGACGGCGACCGCAGGAAGGCGGCGATTGGGGAAAAAAAGACGGCCGTCCAAGGATCGGCGTGGGGGGGGTGGGGGTGGGGGTCGGGGGAACGGGCGGAGAGAGCCCTGATTGCGATCCCTGATTGCGATCCCGGCGTCGCCGTTCGTCGCTTTAATTCGAGCCAGGCCACGCGGACGCGGGGGCCAGCCGCCCGTGCCCCTCCGTCGGCTCGGCTCTCCGTGACTCGGGTTACAAAAGTATTTAAACGCAATTAATCAACGGGGTGGGTTTTTTTTTTAATGTTACGCGGCGACTGCCCGCCGCCGCCGCCGCCGCCGCGCTATTTTCGGCCGGATGATCGAGAGAGAAGATCCTCGGGGTGTATTGTGTGGAAGGTCGGCAGGGGGGCGGGGGGGAACCGCGAAAAAGAGGACAGATTAAATTAATTTATTTACGGCATAAAAACGTTTCGTCGGGCGTCCTAATCGGCAGCACGTCCTCGTTTCGAGTACCTCGAAACGAAACGCTGCACTCACGCGGGATCGCTTCACCGCCGTTAACATCGTTAACATCGTTAACATCGTTACCCCCACTACTACTTCACCATTTAGTTCTCTATTATGCAAATCGTAAGCACGCGTAATTAAATTCTACTTGCGTGAAAAAAAAAACTCGGGAACGCGATGTGCGGATTTAAAAACGCGGCGATCGTCCACCCGGGAGCGGCCCCGATGATTTATACGGGGCGGGCGGGCAAACAAAACACAAAGCGGCCAAACGACGCCGCGGTCGTTTCCCCTCCGCTAGTCAAAAAAAAAAACCTCCACAAATTACATAACCCCCCGGAAAAAAAAACAGCCGCAGAATTCCTTAACCGTGAACGGGGTTGTTTTATTTTCGTTAAATATTCTGCAAGTAAAATATGCTCCCAAGTGTGGTTTACCGGGTCGGGGCTGCGCATTGAGACGGTGGCCAGGAGATGTTAACTACCTCGCCTGGTCGAGCGGAGGTCGTGGGTTTGATCCCGACTCTAATTCCTGTTAGATATTTGGAGTTTGCGGTGTCTCTCTCTCTCTCTCTCCCCTTGGTCGCGTGGATTTTTCTCCGGGTCCTCCGCTTTTTCCCTCCGCATTCAGAATCGACGTCGCGCGTCGAGAGTATTCGGCCGCTGTGCATTTTCACGTGATAAGCTACTTTGTTGGGATATCATTTGCGGCCAGGTCAGTTGGGCCTTGCCTGGCAAAATAAAAACAGTTCCTAGTTCAGCGACGTCGCTGCAAACCGAGCCGACGCGACGCTCCACGTTAAGAATAAACACGAGGCATTTGGGAGAGCAGAAGACGACTCCACTCTCGTGTCTGCGCCCGGCTAATCGACGAGGCCACATTCTGCCCTTTCATCTCTTCCCACCGCCGCCGCCTCCACCACCAACCTCTCTCTGCGCCGATACAGACCACCGCTGCGCCCATTGCTCTGAGCGCGCACGCAGCCTGTCGCGCCGTTCTTCCCGGTCGCGACGACGCGTCGCCACGCGCCCACCGATCGCCGCGAGCCATCGTAACCCGCCGGCCAAGTTCCCCGCGGGTGCGGAGGAAGTGCGAGGTAAACAATGCAGTTTAACACGTGGGAGGCTTTCGCGACCAATATTATCCATAATCAACGTTTTTGGGTTTAGATCGCGTTATTTATAAATGTGTCGTAACCCTCCTACTCAAAAATTGTAAATGTTGTGGTTTCACGCTTCAACACACCGATGGGCTAAAGCAGTGAACTATTTGTCTTTTGTCAACGTGATACTTTTTTACTGATTGGCCGTGTCGGGTGGTGGAGGGTTACGACACATTTATAAATAACGTAAACAATGTAGCTGGGTGGGTGCGCGATCGACAACGCGTGAATGGGCCCACGAATGAATGAACGCGCGGGCTGGGGCGGCTTAATGAATGAAATCAGCTGATAAGAGTTGACGGATCGATGCTCACGGAGGGGTGAAGGAAGTTGGGCGAGGTTGCACAAAAACGGGCGTGAATGAACGGGACGGGCGCGTTAATGATTGTTTGAATGAATGCTCACGTTTCTCAATTAATGAGCTAATTAATTGATGAATGTGCTCAATTCACTAATTCGTGTATCAATGAATGGCTCGGTTATGATTGTTCCAATGGATTATTCGATGCACGCATGATGTAATCAAAGAGTGAAATGAATGAAGGGCAAGTTAATTAACGCGTCAATGAATGAAGCAATTGATGTGTGAATGGGCCCAATTAGTTAATCAGCGAAAGTGAAAGAGTGTGCCAACGCACCGATCAAACATGCGGGGAGAAAAACCCCACGAATACACCGGACATGAAACGAATGCGCCTGTTCAGATCTTATTTGGAGAAGCGTAAACAGCCCGTCGCGAAGGATGCCCTGCAAATCTGACATTTGCCTGGTCGGTTTGGGTGCCCCGCAGGATTGCCCAGTGCCGGACCCTGTCCTGTTCGGCATCAATATGTCCCTCCCCCCCCCCCCCCCCCCCCCGATTAGAGCCCCACTCGTCACCACCTCGGTCTAAGCGCTTTAATATCGCCACCACGCAGACGACACCGAAATCCGTCTACGACGTCGCTTGCTTCCGAGCTCTGCGAGCCGATGCAATCCGCCTGCGCAACTTTCCCCATCGCTGTCGCCGGTTGTGGCGGGGGGGGGGGGGCGGGCGGGAAATGTAATAATAAATAAGCGAGACAACGACAAGTAAATAAAAATCGTGGTCACGCAAGCCCCACAACCCTCCGACCGACGGACGTGGATTAGACGGAGGCCGTGCTAATTGGGACACCCACACCGCTGGTTGCGTTAAGCTGGCTCTCGCTTGCCCTGACGATTGATGGCCACGACATCTGCACGGCCCTCAGGAAGCCTTTGCAGGGGGGGGCAAGGGGGGGGCAGGGGGTGGGCAGGGGGGGACAGGGGGGGGGGGGTTGACGCTGCGCTGGTCGTTGGAGACTCGTGGTTACCAGACGACCGATTTGACAGACGCGATGTAAATACGCTCACTGTGCGGTCGCAGGAGGAGTGGTAGATGCATTCTAAAAAAAAAAGAGCGCACAAAGCAAAACGCTGCCTGCCGAGTAGTGCGGTACACACTGAGTGCACGCGGTACGCACACTGTAAACAGTAGACACAACACACACGCAGTACACGTAAAGTACACAGTACACACGCAGCACACACACAGTACATGAGCAATACACGTGCGGTAGACATAGTACACACAGTGCACACACAGTAGACAATGCTGTCCCATGTCCGACTGCATATCTGCATGTAGAGTGAATTAAAACCACGTAACACAGTGAATTCTGGGGGGAAAAAAAAAAAGAGGTTAGCAGCTGCGTATACAGCACGGAATCGCACGAACCGATCCCGCATACAGCGAGCGAAACCTGCACATGATCTCTATTGAATGAACGACTTCTAGCGGGGCTCTCACCTGTCCTGGCGTTTGGCCGTGCGACGTTCCCCGGTCCGGCACCCCGCTGCTCCCCCTCCTCGATGGTGCCGCCGCCCCTCGGCTGTGCCGCCTGCTGCTGGCGCAGGCTCAGCAGGTGCTCGTCTGACTGCATGTGGGCGATGAGCGCCTCTTTGGACGCGGCTGAGAACTGAGCAAACCTTGCAGGAGTAGCGCCCGCCGCAGCCACCGGCAGCCACGGTAACACCACCAACACCACCAACACCACCGCCAGCAGCAGCAGCACCGGCGCCGACGCCACCTGCCGCCAGCGACCTGCCGGCCTTCGGTGGCCGCGCCGCACCGTGGAAGCCGAACCCCGGGCGGTCGGCGCTCTCCTTCGCGTTCGGTTCGTCGGCGCAGACGCGCGACCCGCCGGCTCCCTCGCTGATGTCCGGCGCTGGGGGCGCAACGCCTGAATTCATCGCCGCATCCTCCTCCTCCTCGTCCTCCTCCTCGTCATCCTTCTCGTCGTCATCTTTGGCATAGTCGCGTGCTTCGCGCAAGGGGAAGACCGCCGATGCCACCGTTGCCACCGCCGGATCGGTACTTCCCCCTCCCGCCGCTGCGTCAGCCTCGCCGGCGCCGGCTTTGGAAGCCGCCTCGTCGCCCGGCTCCATCTCCGCGGCCGAACCGGCGCTCTCCGCGCTGCTCACGCTCGTGGAGTCGGGCGAGTCGGCTCGCTCCGCCGTGGCCCGCCCCGGCTCGGCGTCCCGGCCGCACCGCGTCGCGGCGCCGGCGGCGGCACCGCCGCCTCTTTGGTGATCGCCCGGCTCCACGAGCTCCACGTCCGGCTCGCTCAGCTCCGCATCCGACTGGTCCGTCGAGTCGCCCCCGTACACGGCGCCCAGCCGAGGCACCAGCTCCGACAAGCGGGAACCGGCGTCTGGGGAGAGCCGGCCGTCCTCCGACGCGGCCGGCGCCGGCGCCGGCGCCGCCGACTCTGACGCCGGCGACGGCACCTCCCGGCCCGCGACGTCGCAGCCTTCCTTGGCCGCCGCCCTCCGCCGGGGCCGCAGGAAGCTGACGAGCGGCCTCTGCTGGTGCCGCCCCTCCCCGCCGCCGTCGTCACGCATCTGCACGATGGCGGACGTGCGCTTGTCGGTCAGCAGCCGGCGCTCCTCGGCGTTGAGCGCCACGGCGTGGTCGTGGGCGGCGTGCGACACGAAGGAGCGCGTGTGCCCGAACGTGAGCTCGCACGGGAAGCACATGAGCACGGGGCGGCTCTTCACGTCCGCCACTCCCACGTCGTCAAACTCCGACAGGTCCAGCGGCTCGGCGGCGCCGGCGCCGCCGTCGGCGCGCACCGGCCGCACGCTGTAGAGCTCGTACGCGTTGCACACGGGGCTCAGCAGCTGCGCCAGGGGGCTGCCCCGGTAGGCCCAGCTCTGGCCCTGCCACGCGCGCAGCAGCGACGCGAATTGCGAAGAGTCCAGCACCTGCGTGTACGGCTCGGCGTCCGAGTTCGGCGCCGCCGCCGACGCGCCACCAGGATCGTCCGATGCCGGCGCCGCGACGGAAGCGGCCGACGAGGACGTGGACGAGGACGACGAGGACGACGACGCCGCCGCCACGGCGTTCTCTCTGGGAAGTTCCGAGCGTCGGTCTCTTACGACGGAGTCCGCGGGGTCGGAGGCGCCCGTCTCGTCTGGGGCGCTGTCGGCGTCCGAGCCGCCGCTCCTCGTTTCCCTCGGCGGGTGGGCGCGGCGGGCGGCGTCCGAGGGGGCGGCGCAAGCAGCTTCCAGGTGATCGCCGGATACGGATTTCGGAGTTTCCGGGCGTTCCAGATTTCGAGCGTCGGTAGCCGGTTGGTCCCCGTCGCCATTTCCATTTTCGTTGACGTCGTCGTCGTCGTCTTCGTCGTCTTCCTCCTCCTCCTCCTCCTCTTCCTCCTCTTCTTCTTCCTCTTCGGATGACATCACCACCGGGGCGACCGGGGCGGCGGCGTCACCGCCCTCCATGGCGATGGCATCATCGTCGTCGTCCGAGGTCACGTGACCGCGAGGGAGTTCCGCGATTGGCTTTCTAGGGCCGCCCTCTCCGCTGCTGGGCGAATCGTGGGCATCCATGGAGACCGGCAAAGAGGATTCTCATTTCAGAAAATGCCCAGAGGACCTGTGGCACGACCGACAAGAGAAGACAACGTGCACGTTGTTATTTGTTTTTAAAAAAACATCAGGCCATATTTCAGATAACGATCAGATGATTAACAGAACACACACGCAGGGGCAGAGACAATTTTGACCGTGAAGAAACATATCAAACACTATGCTGATCGACTCCGGGCTTTTGACGGAACATCATCGCGAAACGGGGATAATGACGATGCCGATCGGTGGGACGAGGCCGGCGAGCCAACGGCAGCCAAAGAACGGAACGCATCCGACCACCGTGGAGACGGAGCAATGAAGTTGGCCCGAGACACAAGGAGGCGAGATGGACCGGTTGGCAGAGATGGTGTGGGAAAGCTTCCATCCAGCAGTGGATAAACATGACCGATGATGGATGATGATGCTAAGTCGCTAGGGCGGTACACTTCATGAGAATAACTCCTGAGTGGCAGCTTTGAGGGGACCGTAAAAGAACACTGGTCAACAAAAAACACAATTTTTCTGGCCTGGACTTTTGCAGCTGTTTTAAACTAATTTCAGGGTGCCGATTCCAAATCTGATCTCAGATTTGCTCTATCACATCTCATTTTTAGGCTATCGGCATACCCCATTTTCATTGATTTTACCCGAAATTAACTCTGTCACTTATGATTGCAAGTTGTTGCGAGTCGGTGACCGCTTTAGTGTTAAAATATGGTGCTGTATTTTTAGGATAGTGTGTTTATAATATCATTTTATGTACATATCCACATTTATTTAATATTTTTCTTCTGCAGTTTTTATTGAAAATGCAATATTTGATATGTGATGCCCGATTTGGAATCAGCACCCCAAAATTACCTTAAAACCGTTGGAATACCTTCTGCCAGAAAAAGTGTGTTGACCAGTGTAATCAAAGGAAGGCGGGCGACTTGGAGGGGGAGGCCTTCATCCAGCAGCGGACTGATCACGGCCGACGGGGACAAATTTCAAGACGAACTCAAGTCGCGCGCACGTAACGGGGGCATCAAGACCGCCCGCTCTCTCCCGGGAGCGTGGCGGGGCGAACGTTCAACGGCCAAGCCACCAAACCAATTCTTCGGGAGAGAAACGACCACGGGAAATCAACGAAGCTAAACTTAAACTAAAACTAATTTTATTTGACCAAGTAAGGCCCGCCGAGCTATGTAGCTTTTTTCAGCAGCGACCTGGAAATCACAAGATAGCCCAACAAAGTGGCTCATCATCATCACCACGTGGAAATGTACAGCAGCCAAACACTCTAAACGCGTGACGTTGATTCTCAGTGTGGATGGGACCCGGAGAAAAATCCACGCGACCACACGGAGAGAGAGAGAGAGACACGCAAACTCCAAATACACAGCAGACGTCAGGGTCGGAATTGAACCCACGACCTAGCGGAGGCCCAGGAGCGATTCAGATAATCGTCGCTGGTGTTGTCCGTGAGAGGGAATCAAACTTGTGTCTCCAGGTTCATAGTGCGCACACGCACACACACCTCCCACTGTCCCCCCCAAACCCCTAACCCGCCCACAGCTCCCCGACGAAGAGTGAAGGGGGCGTAAGCTCACACTTATTATCGGAGTTGACTTAATAACATTTGGCAACACGGCCCCCGTAAATTGATACGCTCTTCCATGTCACCATTGATATTGTGCAAAACAAACCGCTTAGGAAGTATCGAGCCGGCACTTAGGGCGGCCGCTAACGAGGGCTTCTGACGCGTGTGCACACGCACACGCACACACACGCACAGAGAGAGGTGAGGGGGAGAGGCGAGAGAGCGCGGCGTCGATATTGGCGCGGCGCGGTACAAGAGGGCCGCGCGGAAGCGCACGCGAACCCCACACCGCCAGTTCATTTTTTGACGAGTCGATCGGCGTTAACCCCTTTCTCCCCCCCCCCCCCCTCGCTCATCCAGAGAAAGAAAAAAAAGCTCTTCCCCCGTCGAACTTGTAAATAAACCTCGGCGGTCAATTTCACCGGATGCGCGGTGCAGCCGCGTCGACATGGACGGGCCCGCTTTGGCGGTTTCGGCAAGCAAATAAAAAAAAACGCCGCGCACCAAAGGACAATTCCGGCGGGCGCTTTAGCTTTGGCGGGGAACGCGCGGCCGAGGGTTAATGATTGAAAATCGATGGCGCGGCTAATGCGCCATCGGTCGCAGCTGACAAAAGGTGGGCCGAACGACTCGTGGAGGATGGTGGAAGGGGGCGAGCGCGGGCCAACGCGCAAGCCACCGGGACGCCTCCAACAACGCCAAACGACGACTTGGTTATCTATCACACGCTTTCCAGATGCGCCTCTTTCGCACCGTACGTAGCCGACCGTGCGCGAATCGGAGGTGCGGGGGGAAGGACAACGAACAAAAGAGAAAAAAGCGGTTCGTTTTCAATCTGGATGTAAAAGTGCATCGCTCCCAGGGGCTTTCTAACATCGGAAGGAAGAGCGTTCCAGACGGCCGCAGAAGCGCGTCCGAAAGCGCCGCGCGATGATACGGTGACCGTCTTGGTTCGACGGCCAGCCAAAAGCCGCTGCTGCGAGGAAGACCGGAGTTTGCGCGATGGTGGAATGCTCCTTGACACGTGACCATCACACGACATGACGGTCACGCGATGGTCAGACCGACGATGAGAACTGACGCGCGTTGAGTGAAGAGCCACAATTTTGCGTCCCGTTATTTGCTGGTGGGAAAGTGCTGCCCCCCCCCCCCCCCACCTATTCTGTGGAGCAGAGGCCACTTGAAAGGACCTCAGAGGCAGCTCTGTGAAATCTGCTTTCGTGGGCCATTCTCTCGCATGCATGTATGTATGTCGAACTTCTTTTGCACCATACATAGCCAACCGTGCTGCTCAGAGGTCCGAATTAATTTTCGCGACATGATGGTGAAATGCGCGATGGTGCAATTGGGATAAAATTGTAAACAAAAAAATGGTGCAGAGGTATTGAGTACATAATGCTTTCCGACGTGCGTGTGTGCATTTTTAAATAATCACTTTGTGTGTTTTCAGTTTCCATGTTCTGGGAGCGATAACGCTCCGATCAACGTGGCCGGTTTTCTCTCGGGTGATTCCCTAATGGCGATGCAACTTTACCCTGGAAGTTCGCTCACATTGGTTCATCAGTACGAGTCATCGTGACCCCCCCCCACCCCCAAGTTACATACGGACAGAGGGACAAACCTCAGGAACAAGACGAGTTGGGAAAGCCTTAACAAACGACAATCATTTACAATTGTTCGTAATAATTTGCGATTCATCCGTGCGTTGTATAATGTTTAACTGTCACGGTTATTTTTGTTTCTACATTGGCGCTTTGTTAGAGTGTTGCGTACGACCGAGTTTACGCACAATTTATCCATTTGTCCACCCGTGTAACGTCACCTGTAATCTGTCCAACAATCTGGTCGACAGCCACGGAGCTGAACAGCCTGTGAGAAAAAATAAAACTTTCGCAGGTGTCACTGGGGTTCCCGCGAGCTTCGATCAAACGTCGACCCCGTTGACCCGAGCCGTACCCGACAGCCAAATGGCGTCTACTCGCCGATGCCCGGAACCGCATTCGACTCGCGTGTCGATTCCCGGTCTTAAGGAGTCGTGGGAACTAATCGAGCGTCCGTGGATGCGATCGACGGCCTTGCGTGCGGCACCCCGCTTTGGTCCACGCGATGAACGCTGAAGGGGCCCGGCCCTGGCCAACGGTGCGGCCTTGCGTCACCACCTGTGGGGTCTCTATCGTGGCTCCCCCTGCTGTCCCACTCTCTCCTGATGGTCAAAATCACTCTTCAATTCCAATTGACAGTCGGGTGGCTTGCAGACAGCGCTGCACCCGTCCGCAGTGCATAGGTGACAGCGAGGCATTGTGGGCGGAGGGCATGGTCAAAGTCAGGTGGCAGAAACCCCCGCAAAGCCTTCTCTCTGCCCGTGTTCGTCATCCGAGCCGGGAATCGGCAACGTTCAAGATGTCAAGGAGGGTCCCCCCCGTGGATGGCTGACTGAGAAACGATCGCGGAAAACAAACGAGCTGCTGCTTTTGTTGCCTCCCGCGCGACAGGCAATGCGTGCGGGCGAGCGCAGACAACGCGTCGGCGTGGCGAGCGGTAAAAATAAAAAATAAATCGCGAGACTCGTTATCAAGAGAGGCCTGCTGGGCGGCGATACCGCGGCACGTGAAAGTTAGCAGCGCCGGACTCGCACTCCAGAGGTCGCCGAACCCAATCACCGCTCACCGACGGTCTTCCAAGGTGCGCCGCGGCGTCTACATGGAGCACCGATCACAAATCGGCAGCAGGGGCCCGACTCCCATCATGCCTTGCACGGCGTCACGCGCGATCACCACGTGGGCACGTACACGATGCTCTCGGCCTGGCCCGGACCACCGGGGCTCGAGAGTCGAACGTGCGACCGTCGCCCGTTGAAATTCAGGCGGCCAAAATTCGGGGAGCTCAAAAATTACGGCCGTTCCCAGGGCACGCGCATCGTCCCGGTCGCGCCGGGGTTTTCTCACCGCAGACAGAAAGTGCGCTGCCACCGGCACGCGCGCACGGAATGCCTAATCGCAAAACGAGGGCGCCGCCAATTTACGCCCCAGACCGGCCGCTAATTGGCCTCCTCAATAACGCCGAGTCGGCAGAAAGCACGGAACCCTTGCCCTGCCCAGGCGTGACCACCACCCCTCCCCACCACCGCCCTACACCGCCCCGGCGCTTGTCTGTCCGTCCGCCTACAGAGGGGTCAAAGTGCCCGCCCGGTGAAAATACACCGCGTGCCGGTTGACATGGACATCTGTAAAAAAATAAAAGCTTCGTAGCTCATCGGATTTCTCCAAGGTGAAGATTCCAATTCTGAACCTCGTGGAGCAGTGCACCATCCCCATCATCATCATCGCCGTCATCGCCGTCGCCTTCACGCGACATCTATCCACTGCTGGATGAAGGCCCCTCCCCCGCCAAGCTCGTT